GACCGGTAACAGTCACCCTCAGCACTAAAAGACAAAGGATACATGGCAGAGATAATAACATCAAAGTCTAGGTCAAAGATAACAACTCCTGACTGAAGCAACTGCGCCCAGCGAGGGCGCTCGACGTAATCACCAAACTCAGCACACTAGGCGTCGTCAAGGCGGGCAAAGCAGCGGCGCTCAGTATGAAACCTCCCGCATGTCCGGCCCGCACGGGCACCCGTGCGAATGACATACAGGCAGGTCTCACTACCCTCACCCGCCCCACGCTGAACCAACCACTCACAGAGCTGCTGGGGCATCTGGGTCTCGCTCCGACGCTACTGCTGTTGGCCCCGACCACCACCAGGGCCTCCACGCTGAGGTCCAGACCGACCACCACTGGTCCCACCGCCTCCACTGCCACCACTCCCTCCGCTGCCTCCACCGCCGCCACCAGAGCCTCCACCTCTGCCACGGGTCCCACTGCCGCCACCACCTCCACCGCCTCCACCTCCTTTACCGCTGCCCCCACTACCGCTTCCACTGCCACCTCCACCACCACCGCTGCCTCCTCCACTACCCCGGCCACCCTTGCCCTTGCTGTTGTGGCGCTTCGCACTAGTCGAAGCAGCACCAACGTCCTCAGGAACAGAGACGTCTGCAGCAGCAGCAGAGGCGAAGGAGGAGGAAAGGGGGGAGGGGGAGCACCCCTCAAAGAAGGGTGAGCGCGGAGTGCCACGAGCAGCACCTACAGCAACTGCACTAGTCTCAGCTGCGAGGAGATGCTGCTCGAGGAGGTCAACAGTGAGGGAGGTGGGGTCGAGGGTGAGGAAGTGGTCCCTGACAGAGCGAAGGGAGTCAGGGAGGCGAGTGACTATGAAGTAGAGGGTGATGAACATGGGGGGCTGGTTCGTGGGAAGGAACCCAGCAGGGACGGTAGCGCGGTAGCGAGCGTCGCTGGTGCGCAGGTGGGTAATCAGGTCCGCTACTGTGGCAAAAGCCGACAGCTCAGGGAACAGGTAGGGCAGTAGCAGCCTGCCAATAGCAGCAGTGGCAGGGGAGGAGTAGCGAGCAACGACAGCGTCGTACAGGGCCTGTGCTGTCCTGTGCTCTCCAAAGTGAGCACATTCGGTCGCAGGCAGGTGGTTGCGAATGGCTAAGCGGGCAGTAGCGTCACGAGACAGCCAGTGGGAACGAGTCCCACCGTCAGCTATGGCGGGAGGGGCTGGAGCGACACTGGACACGTGGTCAAACAGTGAGACACTGTCCTTAATATCGCTCAGAAGGTACAGTTGCAGATCGTCGTGCCACGTGTCAAATGCTACAGGCCTACCCTCAGGGTCGAACGCAAGAACTCTAAGCGAAGCCATAGTGGCACAGGGCTCAAGAGCAGCAGTAGCAGTAGCGAAGGGGCGGAGCCGAGGGGCCTAGGGGCCGAGGGGCCAAACAAGAGGGCCTAGGGGCCGAGGGGCCGAGGGGCCTAGGGGGCCGAGAGGCCTAGGGGGCCGAGGGGCCAAACAAGAGGGCCGAGGGGCCAAACACGAGGGCCGAGGAGGCCGAGCCTAGTAGCTGAGGCTAGGGGCCGAGGGGCCAAAAAAGGGGCCAGGCGCTGGGCAGGTACTGAGCCGAGGGGCTTAGGGGGCCGAGGATGCCGAGGGGCCAAACAAAAGGGCTGAGGAGGCCGAGCCGAGCAGCCGTGGCTAGGGTCCGAGGGGCCGAGAGGCGGGGCCGAGGGGCCAAACAAGGGGCCGGGCGCGGGCAAGGTACGGGGCCGGGCGCGGGCTAGGTACGGGGCCGGGCGCTGGGCAGGTACGGGGCCGAATGCTGGGCTCTGAATTGGGGCCGAGGGGCCTAGGGGGCCGATGGGCCAAACACACTGGGCCAAGGAGGCCGAGCCTAGGGGCCGAGGCTAGGGGCCGAGGGGCCAAACAAGGGGCCGGGCGCTGGGCAGGTATGGAGCCGAGGGGCTTAGGGGGCCGAGGAGGCCGAGCCTAGGGGCCGAGGGGCCTAGGGGGCCGAGGGGCCAAACACACGGGTCCGAGGAGGCCTAGCCTAGGGGCCGAGGCTAGGGGCCAAGGGGCCGAGGGGCGGGGCCGACGGGCCAAACAAGGGGCCGGGCGCAGGGCTAGGTACGGGGCCGGGCGCGGGCTAGGTACGGGGCCGGGCGCTGGGCAGGTACGGGGCCGGGCGCTGGGCTCTGAATTGGGGCCGAGGGGCCTAGGGGGCCGAGGGGCCAAACACACGGGGCCGAGAAGGCCGAGCCTAGGGGCCGAGGCTAGGGGCCGAGGTGCGGGGCCGAGGGGCCAAACAAGGGGTCGGGCGCAGGGCTCTGAACTGGGGCCGAGGGGCCAAACAAGGAGCCGGGCGCTGGGCGAGGGACGAGGCCGGGCGTGGATGTCGACGGGCCGGGGCTAGGTACGGGGCCGGGCGCTGGGCGAGGGACTGGGCCGGGCGCGGGCGTCGACGGGCGCGGGCTAGGGAAGGGGCCGGGCGCGGAGCTAGGTACGGGGCCGGGCGCTGGGCTAGGAACGGGGTCGAGCGCGGGCTAGGTACGGGGCCGGGCGCGGGTGTCGACGGGGTGCTGGCTTGGTACGGGGCCGGGCACGGGTGTCGACAGGGCGCGGGCTAGGTAAGGGGCCGGGTCGCGGGCTAGGTACGGGCTGGTCACGGGCGTCGACGGGGCGCGGGCTAGATACGGGGCCGGGCGCGGGTGTCGACGGGGCGATCGCGAGCTAGGTACGGGGCCGGGTCGCGGGCTAGGTACAGGCCGGTCGCGGGCGTCGACGGGGCGCGGGCTAGGTATGGGGCCGTGCGCGGGTGTTGACGGGGCGATTCCGGGCTAGGTACGGGCCGGGCACGGACGTGAGAAAGGGCCGAGCGCGGGCTAGGTACGGGCCTATCGTGGGCTAGGTACGGGCCGGGCGCGGGCGTGAGACTGGGCCGGGCGCGGGCTAGGAACTAGGTAGGCGCATTAGTAGGTGGTGGGCCCAATAGGAACCTACTCTAATACCATGTGAGAACAAGTGACGAGGATGATCGATTAGGAGAAAGGGGGGGGGTACAAGTAGAATGTCGAGATGATTTCTGTACCCCCTAAAGCTAGCCCCCATACAGCCTAGATACAACTAAGCATATATGTTTTGACAAGCTTTTCTGACCATATTGACATCCTGTTGCCGCGCCTTCGCAAGCTGGCCGTTCGCAAGTGTTATTCTCTCGTCCTGCCTGAAAGCTTCGCGTCTCTCAGCTGTTTAGAAACTCTCGTACTCTATGGGTGCCGTTTTTCAATTCTTACCCAGCAAGTTCGGTGACGTGCTTGCCCTCAAACTGCTGGTGCTGGAAGAATTGTCTCTCTCGGAACTCTCTCCTTCCTTCTACCATCTCACATCTCTCGAGTCACTCTTTCTAGCTGGATGCGACGAGCTTCTCCAATTGCCAGCAAGTTTCTCCTGCCTCACAGCTAGGGATGAGCAAGAGGCGAACACAAACGTGTTCGCGTCCGCCTGTGCACGAACACCGCCGTTCGTCGCCGAACGACTTCCCCAAAAAAGGGTGTTCGCCGTTCGCCTGTGAAGGCGAACACCTTGTTGACGCAGGCGAACACGAACGTGTTCGTGGCAAACACGTTCGTGTTCGCCCCGGGACTACATTCACTAAAGTCACACGGTTGTGGATTGTGCATTGTTGACATTTGTTAGGTGGCTGTAAGGTCCAAATAGAGTAAAAATCAAATCGTTGCACATTCCCTCCCCCCACCCCCCAAGCCAGTCCCGCCCTGCTTCATCCATGCTAGTGCCAGCGTGTGATGGCGAAATGCTAGATCTGCACCCAAGCAACAGTGAAATGCTCGATCTGCACTTAAGCAACGGCGAAATGCTCGATCTGCACTTAAGCAGCGGGCGAAATGCTCGATCTGCACTTAAGCAACGGCGAAATGCTCGATCTGCACTTAAGCAACGGCGAAATGCTAGATCTGCACTTAAGCAACGGCGAAATGCTCGATCTGCACTTCACTGACGGCGTAGTGCTAGACCTGCACTTAAGTAATGGCGAAATGCCAAATCTGAGCCCAAACACCTAGGCCCGCGACCTAAAAATTGGTCGCGGGCCTATTCGTCGACGAACACATTGGTGTTTGTCAAAGGCCCGTGTCGAACACGAACATGTTCGTGTTCGACGTGCCTCAGCCAGCTGAGCCGGGCGAACGGCGAACGTGTTCGGGCGAACACCGAACACGTTCGCCCCGAACAATTTAGGCTTTTCTAGAACCATTTGCAAGGGTCATTTGCAAATCTGGAGCTTGCGAATGCGCGACAGCAGGACGCCGATATGGTTTGGAAGGCTCGTTAGCCCTTGGCATTTGGTAATGAGCAGCTCCTCGAGCCCAGTGAAGGGCGATGCTGGTGGGAAGATGGTGTTAAACTCAGGACAAGAAACCACAAAAGTGAGCAACTTCAGGCAAGTCGGCAGCACTATGCTTGCAACAACCATCGAGGGCTGATGCTCCTGGTATGCGGCAAAGGTGGTTAGATGGGTGAGTCATGGGAGGCGAAGGAGGGTGGCCAGGTCCAGAAGGGTCCAGGGAAGGTGACACAGACGGTGGTAAGGGTTGTGAGGTTTGCGAAATCGGGATTCTCCAAGGCCCATTCGTCATTGAGGATAAGGGTGCGGAGATGGTTAATATGAAAGTAGGATCCCGACAGCTATTTTGTTACAAGACCTTAATGCAACTTCGGGTCTAGAACATCCCTAAAGCAGTACCCTTAAGTTCAGAAGGATCTTACTTCAAATTGTTTCCTACCGCAAATGCTGATATATTTTGCTGCTATTAACATGTACGTATGCCTTCTACTCCTTTCAGTTTCCACATACTTTTTTCAATGAACTGCTCACGTACACACCCCCCCACACCTCTGTGCACCCCTTATGCAGCATTCCTTAGCTCCCTCCAGCCTTACACTCAGCGTTGCAAGGCATCACTACGCGGCAGCAAGTGCAATTATAGACGACAGGTGCGGATGGCAGTGACAAAGCACTCTGCACATGCGTCACGCCCCCTACTCTCCCTCCACTTTCTCTTCCCTCCTTTGCACCAACATCCACCCCCTCTCATCCCCCCCCACTTCCATGCTGCACCACAAGTGTGCATTACAGGTGGACGAGTGGATGGAATTGAGAGGAGAAGAACAGGCCTTTGTCAATGTGAGGTGGGCCTGATACCCACTGGCATTGTCCCCCCACCCCTTCCTCCCTGCCCCCCTGCAGCACCACGAGCGAGCATTGTAGGTGGACGAGTGGACGGGGGTGAGAGGAGCATGGGCTTTGTCAAAAAGACCTTTACCCTCTGGCATCCTCCTTTTCTTTTGCGTCTCCCCCTCCCTCCTCCCCCCGCGCCCCTGCAGCGCCACAAGCGTGCATTGGAGGTGGACGTGTGGATGGCAGTGAGGGGCGCAGAGGCGGGCAGCATGTGGGCGCTGGGCGACCGTGCTGCCATTGAGCACTGCCCCTTCACTGTGAGCTTGAGTGGAACACGGGTTGGCATGGCAGCTTGTGAGGCGGGGAGCATGTGAGGCGGGGAGCATGTGAGGGGGGCAGCATGTGAGGGGGCCAGCATGTGAGGGGGGCAGCATGTGAGGGGGCCAGCATGTGAAGGGGGAAGCATGTGAGGGGGGCAGCATGTGAGGGGGGAAGCATGTGAGGGGGGCAGCATGTGAGGGGGCCAGCATGTGAGGGGGGCAGCATGTGAGGGGGGCAGCATGTGAGGGGGGCAGCATGTGAAGGGGGCAGCATGTGAGGGGGGCAGCATGTGAGGGGGGCAGCATATGGAGCTGTCTGTCCCCATCAGCCCCCTCTCCCACCCCTCCACCTACACTTCCCTTCACCCCTCTTCTGTCCCATGTGCTCCTAGTTTGTTTTTAGATCGCAACAGCTCATGTCTTTCCCTTGTCTCCGACAGTTCTTGCCTTCCCTTTCCTTGCACTATCTCCTCCCCTCTTTCTCCCCCCTCCCCTCTTTCTTCCCCTCCCCCATCCGCGAATTCATGTCCCCTCATGTCATGCCTCCGTTTTCCCTCCTCTTTCCCCCACCGCTATGCCCCGTCCAACCCCTCGCATGATCATTGTGCGTGCAGGACGAGGCAGCTCGCATATCCCTTACTCTCGCCTTCTTCCCTGTCCTTCCTTGCCCCCCTCCGTCTCCCATGTCACCACTCTGCTCCTCTCACTGTGCGGCCAGGACAACACAGCGCGCATCTTCCGTGCCTTTGACACCAACGGGGACGGCTGCCTCTCGCCCTCCGAGACCAAAGTGGCCTTGCAAGCCCTCCAGCAGCGCTACCCGCATGCTGCCGCTCTGCTCAAGTCACGGGACCGCATGGCACAGCTCATTCAGGTACCCCCCCTTGTGGATTGTAGACGGCAAGGGTATGGGAGGAGGTGAGGGGGGGGATGTAGACTCATTGTTGCTTGCATGAGATTAAAGCTGAGACGAAGATAGTTCCAATACGCCCTCCACCCACACCCCATGTTCCTCTCGCTTGCACACCCATCTTGCTCTCTCCTTTCCTCTTCCCCTCGCGCCTTTCCCCCTTGTCCCTCGGTTTCTGTTTCCCCCACGAACCGGCGCATTGGCAGGATGCATTGCATGCGGACAGCAAGGCAGGAGCACCAGCAGGCACATGGGCGCTGGGAAATGAGGGGGGCGAGCAGCAGGCGTGTGATGGCATGGGGTGTGAAGTATTAAACAGGAATGAAGAAAGGATGATTGCACTAGCAAGCAGTTGAGTACATATAGGAAACCCTAGATTGGGTTGTACTCACTATTGAGTACCCCACTGCAGGCTAGACAAATACAACATATTCTGACACACCCCCATAGCCAAAGTGGGGTGTAATCAGCACAACAGGCAAAGCAAAACCAAGCTCAGGGTGGATCACAATGTCACCACACATTCTGAGCACAAGTACAAGAAGTAGCAGTTTATAGTTCACAAATATAAGCAAAGCTAGAGGCATTCACAGATGGTAAGTGAGGAGGAGGAGAGACTGTGAGAGGAGAAGAGATAGGAGACGACAGGTGAAGTTGCAGACACACTTGGGTCGAAGCTTGCTGCTTGATTCCCGGGAGTTTCGGTCGACTCCGCAATTGGTCTTGTTGCTGTGCCTTCCTCTGTCTGTAGGCTAGAGGCTGGAGGTGGAGTAGGAGTAGTGCCGAGAGATCCGTTAGACGAGCTCCTCTCCTTCTGTGTTGCCATGTCTTGTGTTGTCGTAGAGATTTTGGAAATTGATCTTGCCCTGTTTGCTCTCATACCATGTTGGGCTGAGAAAAGCCCTTAGGATCTTTCAAGGCTAAGATCGGGGTTGAAGTAGGGATGTTTGTAGTTGCGGAAGCGTTTTAATATCAGAGTTGCTGAACCACCTTGTACTAGTGTGTGAGAACAAGATAAGTTGATAATGACAAAGACATACAAAGCTTTTATATGATTACAAAGAATACGAAAGGTTCTTACTTTAACTGTTTTCTGCTGTTGCGATTCGATACAGTGCCGACTCGGGTAACTGCTCAGTATCGAGTCAGTTATGTGTCCTTGCTGTCGCACTGTACTTTTCGTCAAGTCAAAGGTCAGCGACCTTTGACCTTCGCGTAACCTCCAGCGGTTGCTTTTGTTGACTCATGTGTTTCTTCACTGTAGTCTGCTTCGTTTTGTGTCGATACTTCGATACTTCAGAAGCGTTTAAGTTACTTGTTTCCAACACCTACAAGACAAAACTCAACTTTGATCAACTTCCTGCAACATCAGAAGACATGGCAACACAGAAGGAAAGAAGCTCGTCTACTGGATCTCCCGGTACTACTCCTACTCCACCTCCAGCCTTTGGACTGCAGACAGAAGGAGGCACAACTCAAAGACCAGCTATCGAGTCAACTGAGAATCCTTCGAACCAAGCAATCGGCATCGACCCAAGTATGATGGAGAATTTTTTTCTCATTCATGTCGTTCTACGGGCAACATCAACAAGCAGCACTTGCGCAGTCAAACAACAGCGACAACAACAACGAAGTTACTACCATGAGTCTCGACGGCTCATCTTTTGCGCGCGGAAATCAACAGCCTACCTTCGCACCGTATGTACCTCAACACGGCTCTGTCAGCTTCATGCCGAATCAACTCCCACCTTGACAAGAGACGAAGACACTGGATGCACTTCAGTTGCAGTCACAATTCGCACACGTGCTGAAACTACAAACATCAACACGTTTTGATGGAAATGACTTCTATACCTGGTCCTTCGAATTCGAGCTGATGATGGAAGGCGCTCAAATCCTTGGCTACGACGCCTCCCTGCCATATCCAACGCATAGGACACAGTACGACAAGCAGCAATACACATACCAGTCACTGATTGTCAGAATGTTATATTGCTTACTTTGTTTAGGCTATAGTGTGTCAGAACATTATAGCTTTTACATTTGTGTAGGCTATAGTGGGGTAGCCCATAAGGGGTACAACCCAATTAGGGTTAGTACTTGTACCCAACTGTTTCATAGTTCATTCATTCTCGTTCATTCTCTTGACATGGTTTAAGAGCAGGTCCTCCGCTAGGACCGTTTTTTGTTTGGGCCCACCACTGAACTACTTCTAGCGACCCTCGTGTCGCCCCCCGCCTCGCTCGTCGCCCATAGGCACGTTGACCCCTAGCCCGCGCCCCGGCCCAGTCGATCCTTAGCCCGCGCCACGGCCCCGTCGACCCGTAGCCCGCGCCACGGCCCCGTCGACCCCTAGCCTCGCGCCTGGCCCCTCGTCGACCCCTAGCCCCGCGCTCGGCCCGTCGACCCCTAGCCCGCGCTCGCCCCCCCGTCGACCCCTAGCCCCGCGCCCGGCCCCGTCGCCCCTAGCTCGCGCGCAGGCCCCGTCGACCCCTAGCCCGCGCGCTCGGCCCCCGTCGACCCCTAGCCCGCGCCACAGCCTTGTCCACCCCTAGCCCCCCGCCCGGCCCTCGTCGACCCCTAGCCCCGCGCTCGGCCTGTCGACCCCTAGCCCGCGCTTGGCCCCCGTCGACCCCTAGCTCGCACCCGGCCCCCGTCGACCCCTAGCCCGCGCCACGGCCCCATCGACCCCTAGCCCCGCGCCCGGCCCCCGTCGACCCCTAGCCCCGCGCCCGGCCCCGTTGCCCCTAGCTCGCGCGCAGGCCCCGTCGACCCCTAGCCCGTGCCACGGCCCGTTGACCCCTAGCCCCGCGCCCGGCCCCGCCAACCCCTAGCCCGCGCCCGGCCCGTCGACCCCTAGCCCGCGCTCGCCCCCCGTCGACCCCTAGCCCCGCGCCCGGCCCCGTCGCCCCTAGCCCGCGTGCAGGCCCCGTCGACCCCTAGCCCGCGCCACGGCCCACCGACCCCTAGCCCCGCGCCTGGCCCCGTCGACCCCTAGCCCGCGCCCGGCCCCGTTGACCCCTAGCCCGCGCCCGGCCCCCCGTAGACCACTAGCCAGCGCCCGCCCCCCCGTCGACCCCTAGCCCAGCGCCCTGCCCCGTTGACCACTAGCCCGCGCGCCCGGCTCCGTTGGCCCCTAGGCCCTAGGCCCCTCGGCCCCTAGGCCCCAGGCCCCTCGGCACCTCGGCCCCTCGGCCCCTAGGTCCCAGGCCCCTCGGCCCCTTCTCCTTCATGTCCCTGCTACTACTACTGCTGCTACTGCTACAGCTACTACTGCTGCTGCTACTACTGCTACTGCTGCTCATGCCTGCTGCACAGCTATGGCTTCGCTTAGGGTTCTCGCGTTCAATCATGAGGGCAGACCAGTTCAGTTTGACACGTGGCTCGACGACCTGCAGCTGTACCTAATGAGCGATTCTAAGGACAGTGTTTCGCTGTTTGACCTAGCGTCTGGCGCTGCCACTGCCCCTCCCGCCACAGCTGACAGTGCGACCCGCTCACAGTGGCTTACTCGCGACGGTGCTGCCCGCTTAGCCATTCGCAACCACCTGCCGTTAGCCGAATGCGCTCACTTCGGACAGCACAGGACAGCACAGGCACTGTACGACGCTGTAGTCGCTCGCTACTCCTCCCTTGCCACAGCTGCTCTAGGTCGCCTGCTTCTGCCCTACCTGTTCCCCGAGCTGTCCGCCTTTACCACAGTCGAGGACAAGGTGTCCCACCTTTGCGCTAGTGACGCTCGCTACCGCACTGCCGTCCCTGGTGAGTTCCTTGCCAAGAACCAGCCCCCGATGTTCATCACCCTCTACTTCATAGTCACTCGCCTCCCTGACTCTCTTCGCTCTGTCAGGGACCACTTTATCTCTCTTGACCCCATCTCCCTCACTGTTGACCTCCTCGAGCAGCATCTCCTCGCAGCTGAGACTAGTGCAGTTGCTGTAGGTGCTGCTCGTTGCACTCCGCGCCCGCCCTTCTTTGAGGGGTGCTCCCCCTCCCCCCTTGCCCCCTCCTACACCTCTACTGCTGCTGCAGACGTCTCTGTTGCTGAGGACGTCGGGGCTGCTTCTGCTGGTGCGAAGCGCCGCAGCAGCAAGGGCAAGGGTGGCAAGGGTAGTGGAGGTGGCAGCGGCGGTGGTGGAGGTGGCAGCGGGAGTAGTGGTGGGGGCAGCAGTGGAGGTGGTGGCGGCGGCGGGACTGGTGGAGGGAGTGGGGGCTCCGGTGGCGGCAGTGGAGGCAGCGGTGGGAGTGGCGGCAATGGCGGTGGTGGGACTGGTGGTTGTGGGACTGGCGCTTGGCGTGTTGGTTCTGGAGGTGGCCAGCATCAGCAGCAGCAACGTCGGAGCGAGACCCAGTCGCCCCAGCAGCTTCGTGAATGGTTTTTACGTGGGTTGCTGGGGGTAGTTGCGCGTATGTCAATCGCACGGGTGATCGTGCTGATCAGACATGCGGGAAGCTTCACACTCAGCACCGCTGCTTCTCCCGCCTTGACGACGCTTGGCGTGCTGAGTTTGGTGACGACGTCGAGCTCCTTCACTAAATAGATCTGCTTAAGTCTAGGATTGCTATCTTTGACCTAGACTTTGATGCTATTCTTTCTGATATGTATGCTTTGTCTGTTAGTGCTGAGGGTGACTGTTACCGATGTGTGCCGCCTGACCCAGGTATAGCTGCTGCTGCTCTAGGTGCTAGTGAGTCTGGTACTCTCTCTGGTACTGCGCCTGCTCAGGCCTTGCACACCTTCACGCTGGACCCAGGTGCCTCTGCTTGATTCTTTCGTGACAGCACCACTCTCACTCCTCTCTCTACACCTGTCCCGGTCCGACTGGCTGACCCCTCTGGGGGCCCGGTCGTGGCCCGTTCCTCCACTGTCCTCCCGTGTCCGGCGGTTCTGTCCGGCTCACTGTCCGGTCTTCACCTCCCCTCGTTCTCTGCGAACTTGGTGAGTACCGCTGCCCTCCAGGATGCGATGGCCAATACCACCACTCCTGGAGGTCAGCGTGTGACGATCTGCA